TGTGTTTCCTAGCATTGTAGGCCGTCCACGTCACACTGGTGTGATGGTTGGCATGGGTCAAAAAGATGCCTATGTTGGTGATGAGGCTCAATCAAAAAGAGGTATTTTAACTCTTAAATACCCCATTGAGCATGGTATAGTGAGCAACTGGGATGACATGGAAAAGATCTGGCATCACACATTCTACAATGAGCTCCGTGTTGCACCAGAAGAGCACCCAGTTCTTCTGACTGAGGCTCCTCTCAACCCCAAGGCTAACCGTGAAAAAATGACTCAAATCATGTTTGAGACCTTCAATACTCCTGCAATGTATGTTGCCATCCAGGCCGTCCTTTCTCTATATGCAAGTGGTCGTACAACTGGTGAGCTTTTTCTTCTTTTTAGTTTGTAAATTAATTTATTTCCCATGCTAATAAGTAGTTCATAAAAATTACAGTTGGCAAACTTTTGTCCCACGAATAGGCATCTTGATATGATTGAGAGTTTTGACAAATGATCAATGATATTATTATTTTGAAGAGGATGGTCTTAGTTGGTGCTAACTATCTTTGACATTTCCACTTTTTGTTGTTTACTTCGAAATCATGTAACTGTTACAGGAGACATTGGGTATATAAGTAGTCCAAAACTTCATGATTAATGTTGTGGCATTCATCGTGTAGGTATTGTGTTGGATTCTGGTGATGGTGTCAGCCACACTGTCCCCATATATGAGGGGTATGCCCTCCCACATGCCATCCTTCGTCTTGACCTTGCCGGGCGTGACCTTACTGATCACTTGATGAAGATTCTCACTGAGCGTGGTTATTCTTTCACCACGACAGCCGAGCGTGAAATTGTGAGAGATATGAAGGAAAAGCTGTCTTACATTGCCCTTGACTATGAGCAGGAGCTAGAGACCTCCAAGACCAGCTCCTCAGTTGAGAAGAGCTATGAGTTGCCAGATGGGCAAGTAATCACCATTGGTGCAGAGCGTTTTAGGTGCCCTGAAGTACTTTTCCAGCCATCTATGATAGGGATGGAAGCTGCAGGTATCCATGAGACAACATACAACTCCATCATGAAGTGTGATGTGGATATTAGGAAAGACCTGTACGGAAACATTGTCCTCAGTGGTGGATCTACCATGTTCACTGGCATTGCCGACAGGATGAGCAAGGAAATCTCTGCACTAGCCCCAAGCAGCATGAAGATCAAGGTGGTGGCACCTCCTGAGAGGAAGTACAGTGTCTGGATTGGAGGCTCCATCTTGGCTTCCCTCAGCACCTTCCAGCAGGTTTGCTCCTCTTTCTGCAACTCCAAAGTTTTCTTTTAGCAATTTAATCCCTGCTTTAGTTTTTGAAAATTATTTTATGTGAATTAATTTGGTAGATCACAATAAAAAATATAGAATGGATCCGAGAAGAATGAAAAGTTGTTTTATGAACTTGTACCTTATTTTCATATTTCGACAACTACACCTGTGATTTTGAATAGATTATAGATATGAATTTACAAAATGAAATCTCAGAATAGATTTTCATCACTGGTCAGGACACGAGATTTCGAACTGATCTTGTCATATGTTTTTCACGCAGATGTGGATTGCAAAGGCAGAGTACGATGAGTCTGGGCCATCAATCGTCCATAGGAAGTGCTTCTAAACATCCGAGGATAGAGTTGTGAGAAGTGAAAAAGAAGAAAAGGCAAAAAAGAAGAACGAATTGATTTTATTCAAAAAGATTGAAATGCAGCTTCAAATCCATTTTGTTATAGCTTTCGTTATCCGTCTATGTTTATTTTACTTCTTGGTGGAGTGATGACTTTGAGAAGGGGAGGAGTTGATTCTTTGATTACTATTTATGCTGAGAAGCCTTTTGACTGTTGCCAATTCCAGAATTTCATTCGCAGACTGAAATTGCTACATACCATAGTTGTCTTTGTGAGGGGTCTCAGGGTATATTGTAAAAATTGGGCTAATACTCTGTTTGCTTTACTTCAAATTGCCCATGAAATATATCGGATTTTGGCAGTGGCCTCTTTAAATATCTGGTGTCTTAACTTTGATTCACATCTTTTTCCTCACTTTTCTTCTGTAAATTAATTTTGTTATTTAAGATTGCGGTGAGATCTATGGTGCAGGGAGCAACTAATTTGAACCAATATAACATAAGCTGCATTTATTTCTTCTTTTTTTCCTTTTCTAAATAAAAAGTCCATATCTTCCCAGCTGACTCCTCAATCTTAAGGCCACAAATTGGTCAAAGAAAGTGAGATCAATCTTGAAGTGAAGTAGAAGATCATTCTCTCTTGAAAGTTTCAAGAAGACAAAAAAAGAAGTGTGTTAGAAAAAAGAAAAAGATAACTGGGAAAAGTAGGAGAGGAAGTGAAAGTAAAAGAAAGTGAAGATGTAAAGATTAAAGCAAAAATGTCAAGCAGCAGGAGACAGGAGCAGTGAAAAATGCTGAAACTGAAGCTTTCTTTTAAATGAATTTCTTCAAACGGTGTCTCTCTTTTTGACACAAAAGCTTGTGAAAAAGAGTTTGAAACCCTGTAAACATATACATGAATATGTATGTATATATATATATATGTGTGTGTGTGTGTGTGTGTGTGTGTATACACATATTGAAGTTAGTAAAGTTCTTGACCTCCAAAATAGTAAAATCTTGTAAATTATAAATAACAAATATATATATATATATAAGTATATTACATTCGTAAATAATGTATACATGATATGTTCTACTGTCCATTTAGTGTTAAGTTAATTATTATTTTTTTGTGAGGTGTTTATTATTCATGATTTCAATATAAATTATGTTGTTGTAGAATACATTAAATTTCACCAATATTTTATGTAATTTATCCTTTATTCTATTTTTTAAATATTATTTAGATAAAATTTTAATTGAAATATATCATTTAAATATTTAAAAAATTTACTTTTTAGAAAAATGAGAAAATTTCCATCTTTTGGAGCCTCCGCAAATCAAAGAAAAATGTTAGAATTCTATTATTATTTGATTAGATTTTTTTATTATTTTTAAAAATAAACGAGTATTTATTAAAATTATTTAAAAAATTATTTCTTTAGTATTTATTTACAAACCGAGATATTTATAAGGTGTTATTTTCGAAAATAATTTAAACATTTTTCAGTTGTAGAATCTAAATTTGTGATTCACTTAGAATTTATTATACTCGATTAATTTTTTTTATAATGAATTTGATTCGAAATATAATTGTCATTTTTTTTTTTGGATACTAAAAAGTTTTTTCATTTAAAATTTGGTGTTCTTGCATTCTAATTCTAAAACACAATTTGTAGATTACCAACTGTTAAAAATTAGTGGATGTCTGATATACCATTATATAACCCAAGTGTTCATATATAAAATCCCTACAAAAACTTCATCTCATGGTAGCATTGCAAGCAATGAAGCTTTAGCTTCATATTTTGTGTTGCAGAAAGGATGATGACTGCTACTGAGTTGTGTTGATAATCCTTTCTCATCATCTTTCTCCATCAAGAAGTCTTTGCGAATGTCCATGGAATAGCTTCTTCCACGCATCTTGTTTGACTGGTAATTGTTTGAACTCATCGTCTTGTCCGTGGAAGAGGTTGTGACTGGTTGACTGAAGTTACCAAAACCTTGGATATCTCGTGTTACTTTCCGACATCTTGTTCTTTCTTCTCTTAAGAATGTTATATTTTCGAGCAACTTCAAAACTCGTTCAGATAATTTTCTGACACTTAAACCCCAGTTGAATCTGTACATTTAAAACAAAATAGGATTTAACCACCACATCTTTTCATCATGAGGTTGAGGCATCACTACTACGTTATAAATAAATAAATATATATATATATATATAAAAGAAAAGGTAAGTATACTAACCCTTTTTCATCAATAAACTTAAAGTTTGTCATGTCTTCAATCACTTGTTTTTCACCTTGAAACTCGTCAGCAATCCTCAGAGGTCCATGAGTTAAGAGATGATCCAGTAAAATTACAGCATTGTACGAGATTCGCCAAGTTTTTTCATCAAATTTCAGCAACCTGAAATTGGATTAAAATTAAACCCACCTTAAATTAATCAATTAATAACAAATTAATCAGACTTTTATAATCAAACCGATCATATAATTATTAATTAAAAAGAAGAGAGATTCAGATCACCTCCCGTGAAGGACTTCAACAATTCGCCAGTAGTTATCGACTTCAAAGGCAGCCTGGGAGATCACACGCATGGCACGTGCGTCCGGTGATGTTTTTAAAGGATTATCATCTGTTACTTCTTCTGTTAATCTTGGCACCAAGCCAACCAAAAAATAAAAAATAAATAAATAAATAAATAAAAACACACACACTAATCAAGAATTAATTAAGATGGATTAATTAACAGCACCCACAAATATGAAGTTAGGTTCTCTTTTCTTTCTTCTTACATTAGAGGGTGTACAAATAATTTACATTTATAATCAATTATTAAGAAAGCTTAAACAGATTGTTTTAGTGAATTTTTTTAATTATTTCAAAGAAAAAAGATCAACAATTACTCAAAAAGTAAAATAACAAAGAAGAACCCAGAACAAAATTTTCAAGACAATATAATATTTTTTTTAAGTTATAATCCCTACATGAAATAATTTTACTAAACGTTACCAAGTTTTCTTGGTAAGATCACAAAATAAGGTTGTTGAATTTTATTTTATGGAAATTATGAAGATTGAAAATAATAGAATTTTTTTATCAAATAATTTTTAATAAAAAAATAAAATAAAACAAGAGAAAAATAACTAGAAAGAACAAATTAATTAACTTACAATTGCGCAGGTGTAACATCGGTAAGGACCAACCGGGCAGTCTTGATCTTCTCTTTGAGGAAGAAAGAGGCTTGTCTCTTGAATTCATTGAATATAGGATTTGCCATTTTTCTCATCCTTTATAAAGTACAACCATACTCGTATATATAAACGCATGTATACATATAGCTACCTATAATATATATATATATATGTCCCTAGTAAGAACTGATCTTTATGTCAGTTTGCTAGATTTTGCCTGAATTAATGTATTTAATTATTCAAAACCTTATCTAATTAATCATCTTATACGTAAGAAAAATTAACAACTTCATTAAATTGCAACTACTCCTCAAGAAGCTGGATTTTGCAAGAGGTAAAAGACAAAGCAGAAGATGTCCAAAGAGAGTATTTTAATGAAAAAGAAGAAAGAAAATTAGAGAGGGAGAAGGTCAATTCCAAGTTTCTGCAGGGTTAAGAAATGGTGATTTTAACATTGAAAATTCTAATTACAGGTGAGATGATTATGTTATTTTTGTTTTATTTTAAAAATGAAACAGTATATATATATATATATATATATATATATATAGCTTCCCCTAAAATAATAGTGATGAAATAGGTTTATTTTTCTTTGGCAGAATATTAATAGCTTTGTTGTTGACAAGCTTGCATTTAACCAGTATGAATTAATGTATCATATACACAATATATAGATAAATTACTATATATTCCCATACCCTAGAAGGACTTCACTAAAAATTCCACCATGTTTTTTTACTAGGGTCATTGCCCTTATTTAGTCTACAGCTTGAACCCTAACATTTTTCTTTATATAGTGAAATAGAATTAGTTATTGACCATCTTTTTATAGTGAAATAAAATTAACGATTAACACATGTTCTTTAGTTGTAATCTTCAATTATTCACCACGAAATTTACTTTTAAGAGCTAAACAAATATAAAAGTTGTAAGCTGAGGCTATACATCAAATAACTGAAGATGAACGAATCAAATATGGGTTGAAGCAAACTTGTTACTGGCATCCTCTATCTTCAACCTCCCTCTCTCGCAACACCTGCTCAAATTTTCTATTTCAGATGGAATTCGACAATACCAACTCTTTTTTTTTTTTTTAATTATAGATGGAGTTTGGAGTAAGGCTCGAACTCGAATCTTTAATTCCACAAACAAAAAGTTGTCATCTCATTTAAACGACAAGTTTTTTTTTAGCAATTCTTGCACAATTTTACAATTCTCAGAGCCAATGCTCTGACAGTCACCTTCTTGACATAACAATAGGAAAGCATATTATAAGGCTGGTTTGAATTCCGATGGAAGTACTAATCCATTCAAGGATATAATTACTCAAAGATAATCTTTATAGTAGCTAAGAAACATAATGCGTAGTCTATAGTTACAATCTGAAACTGCATGGTACTGGTTAGATCAAGACTTGCATAAACAAGCTCATGAAAAAATGTTTGAGTTTCGTATAAAGTGATATTTTTATGGTTGGCTGAATCTAGTGTCTTGTTTTCCTATTCCTGCACTGGACCAACAACCATAGAGGCCAGTGAAAAGGAAAAAGAAATCTCCTTTTAGATAGTTTTAGACAGTCTAACACGAAGAGTTACTTGGTTAGGGGATGGAGTTTCCACATGCCGGTTCTATATCCAGCAGACATCAGCGTCATCTCCCAAAGCATGGTGGGAATGCTCAATGGATTCAATTTTGATCCAGGAATTTCAGACCAGTTTACGGATATCTCAATCATTGGGATGCCAAACCACTTGCATAAGAAAACAATCTCAACATCAAAACACCATCTGCACAATATCCCGATTAACCACGTCAACCACCATAAATACAATATGTAATCAGCACAAAAGAGAGGAGGATAAAGACGATGATGAAAAAAAGCATTGCTCTGTGCAGACTCCTACTTTTGTCCCTTTGACACATGCCATAAATATAATATCTAATTAGTGCATAATGAATTTGGCATTCTTTACCTATTACATTCGTTTTAGGACTAACCCGCGTATTCATTCCAACAAAAGGACTTAAAAAGCCATCTCAAATGCCCCCAAAATCAGATGTTCTCCAAAACATAGCCAGCTAACACAGACACACCAACTCAAAATTAACTTAACTAGAGACACAACATATCGATATTCTAACTAGTCTCTTCCTCTCTCTCTCTAGTACTTGTTCATTCCCCTGTAGTTTCTTGTTGTCTTTACCCTCTTTCTCCAAATACAGTCTTGTAGAAGAATGAAGTAATAATCAATTCAAATCTTTCACAAATATCCAATATGTTTCTGGAAAAGATAAAAGTTCTCTTGCTTCCTGACAGGAGAAATGGTCTAATCAAGCAATGATCGACTGCCAAGCATGCTTTTCTTGAAAATCTATAAACAATGTCCTTCTTATGCATGTAAAAGTTGTGGAAAAATGACCAAAAAAACAGGTACTTTAAATAAACAGTTGAAGAAACTGATACAAAATGTAAGTGTAAGACAAAGATCCTAGTCAATGAGCACAGCAAGAGTATTTTCTTTCCTTTAAAATTAGATCCTTTAAATCTAAGGCCATGATTGTCAATAATGGGCAAAGCAAAGAGCTTCTTACCTTTTCAGTCGGATGTTTGCGAAAAGCTTCCTTGCTGCAGCCCGAGTAAACATCTTAAAACCACACTGCAACAACAGTTATTCACAAATAAGCTCATATCTTTCAATTGGAAAAAAGAGCAAGTACTTGGCAGCAAGAAACAATCTACATTTATATTTCTATTATGACTTTTCATGAAAAAATGTTTTGCCCCTTTTAGAATATTTTATTGATTCGAATTCACAAGAAGCGTTTTTTAAACTTCTAGGCTCTTCCATAACTTACTAATTTAACATTGAAAGTAACTAATTAGTTATTTGGATATAGAGCGCTGGTGAACATAAACTGGGCTGAGAAAGTTCAAGGCAAAAACATACCTGTGTATCACGAATTCCAGGACCAGCAGTCAAGAGAACCACGAGATGGAAACCCTTCATTAAGAAGTTCCGGTACCACTTTCTCTGAAATACAAGACTGTAAAGGTTCAGCTGAAAGAAAGATAGAAAGAGAAAATAAAATATAATAGAAGGCCACAATACAAGGCATTAAGTGGCATCAACAAGACTTAACTGTTGCAAGAGCTTTCTCTTCAAGATGAGCACGAGAACCAAATGCAGCTACTGGAATATCAGATATCCTAAAGTTTGAAGAAAAAGAAGAATCTCCAGGAAAATTTTCCTTTTTGGCAACTGCATGAATCTGAGAAGATATAAATCAGGTAGTCTGCGGTAGTTATACTCAAACTGCCAGACTTGACGTCGTTGGAATAAATAACAAGTTAAAAGCCATCTATAGGACGGAGAGTACCTTTGTTTCAAGTTTTTCAAGGTCATTCACTTTGGTAGCCCCATCAGCATCCAGCATCAGAAGTAGTTCACCACGTGAATGCAGCATTCCCTGTTTTACAATGCTTTCACAGAGGTAAAAAGCTTCAATCAGTTTTTGTTTGACATGGTGGAGATATTAATCCTTCAACTGCACGACAAATTTTTTTAATTAAGTAAAAATATAATTCGAGTTAGACTCACTTTTCGTATAGCTTCCCCCTTCCCATGATTTCTTCCAAGAAGGATAACTCTTACGTTGTCTACTGTGTACTTCCTTACAAAGTCAAAAGCTACTCTTTTGGTCCCATCAGAACTTCCATCGTCAACTATCAAAACCTGCTCCAGAATTTTTTCATGACCAAATAAAAAAGAAATGTTAAATATGGTAGTTATAAAGTGAATCCTATTAAAAAAATGAACTCGGAAAGTAAATGACAATATAGATAGTTATGCAAATTATCCTAACAAAGCATGGAAACCAGAGAAAAAGTCAAGATCAATTTATCAAGGTAATACAGTGACTAACATATGAACCTTGAATGCTAAAGCTAAGATAAAGTGGAAGAAGGATTAGTTGACAAAGGTCTTGGCAGCAGCATGCAACCAATAGTGTGATGAAGCACCAGAAAAGATAAATGCAAGATTTTTATCTCTGAGCATTTGCTTAGTTGTGAGCAGAAAACACTGCTGGAGAGATATTTCTCCTGATATGGAGTGAATTATAGATCCAATAAAAGCAAATGGCCATATACCAATAGATATTAGAATGAGCAGAGCGACAAAATGGTACCTCATAAGAAAAAGACTTATCCTTTGCTGCACGTTGCTGAAGATAACTACAGTTGAGACAAAAACACCATTATTCCTTAAAATTATATATTAATCTGGAATTCAATTGATCAAATGATTAATTATTTCCTAACAGCATATCTGTGGAACTACATGTGCCACTCTGCAAAAGCCAACCTTCTTACATCCTAATTGAAGGTAGCGTTCCTAACAAATTGAGAATAAGCTTTGAATCAAAGGGTGGTATTATTTTAGGAGAAGGTTAACTGAAGCGGTGTGCAACAACCTTTATGATGATTAGGTTACTCAAGGCATACATTGTTTCTTTCAAGTATATTTTCATAAATTGTAAACAGAAAAGAACTACGAGTAAAAATATGACATCTTTTCCATTCATCTTCAATCCTACCTTCTTGGGGAAAGGCCAAGGGCATCATGGTAGGCTGGAGTACTATTTGGTCATGCATTAGGTTGTAAAGGTATCACTTGGTATTATCATGTACATAAAAAACGGTGATAACAAGAATCTATTGATCTAACGCTTTAACTTACATCATTGTTTCTTCAAGCGCTCCAGGAAGCCTATGTTCCTCATTATAGGCAGGAATTATCAAAGATAAATACTTCTCTGCTGGATCAGAAATATGAGGACATGGAACCTGGACGATACACATCCATTAAAGTCAGCATCACTCACTAAACTGGATAAACTTACTGTCAGAAAAAAGAAACATACTTTGGTCAAAGACATCATTTAAACCATGTTAGGTTGCTGGAGTGATTCAGCTCCTACTATCACATAACTGATATTAGGTACATTGTGATTATTTAGTCGCTTCAACAATTGGATAAAATTTAGCCCGATATTTATATACACACATATACCCAAACTTATAAACTAAACCCTAAAAAATCCAAGTTACAACCAAGTTCAGGGACTCTTCAAGAAACACCACCGATCAAGACATTCATAAAACCCCACTCTGACAATGCAGTGAGGACAACATACTTCAAAGTCCACATCATAAAGGTCAACATATTTCCTAATCAATGTAAAAATAAAAAATTGCATTTTACTATGCCTAATGCAACTACTTGATCGCCCAATACTCCAGCAGTCGACTTATCAACAAGAAAATTCCTCACATTTTTGCAACAACCAAACGAAGCTTCAGAATTAATACAGCTGCTTTTATACAAGTGATATTGTAACAGAAACAAATACATTTTTTTAAAACCAGATTGTATAGTTGACCTGTTTCAACGAACTCGGATCCTCGAAGATCGCCGGAGCTTCAACATGACTGCAAAAACAATTGGAAAAAAAAAAAACCATCAATCAATTACAAGTCTCAAAAATAAACTCTTCTTTTGCCAAAAAGAAAGATGAGGCAGAAAAACAAGGCAAAAGAAAATTAGGAATTGGAGCTGAAGAACATTACACATGATTGTCTCTCCTCCTATAGGATTCAAATAAAATCGCTGAAATTAAACCTAATACTCCGATCAAAACCAGGATGATAAGAAGCTCCGCAAGCGTCCATAGAAACGCCATGCTCTTCCCTATTTTTTTCCATTTTTCTATAAGCCGTTTGGTTTTAAGCTGCTCCACCTGCGGAGGAGACGATTTGAACAATTTGAATAGCCATCAATATTTTTAATTTATGAACCAAATTTACAACTGGCCCGTCTAGCTCAGTCGGTAGAGCGCAAGGCTCTTAACCTTGTGGTCGTGGGTTCGAGCCCCACGGTGGGCGTTATTAAATTTCCGTGGAATTTTTTCCTTTGTCTGTCTCTTTCAATTATCATAAAAAGCATTTGTTACTCTTCTGAAAGGCCAAAATTCATCAAACTTTTACGTCCGTTATTTTCGCTCTAATTTTCTTAAAAATTTAAATTACATCACGTTTTTATTTTATTTTTTAAAATTTTCCAAAATTTTAAATATATATTTACCGACCAATACTATCAAAAAAATTTATTTATAAAAATTTGAGGCATAATATTAAAAAATTTCAATATAATTTTTATTTATAAATGCAATTGTTTCATGCATTTCTAAAATAAAATAAATAAGAAAAATATTATAATGTAAATACATCAATTATAATATAATATAAAAAAATTATAAGTAATAATATAAATAAAAGTATACTTCAACTCAACACTATAATTTTTTATAAATAAAAAAAATGTATTTAATTTGTTTAATTTGTATATGAAAACTAAGTTTGTAATGCCAAAAATTTAATGCTAGGGTAGGTGGCGTTGGCGTTGGCGTTGGCGTTAGTGAAAGGCATTATATATATGTGTGTGTGTGTGTGTGTGTGGTATTTATATTGTTTACAGCGAATACAACTCTAAATGTGTATAAATTTGTTGGAGTTGGGTGCAATAGAGTGGAAGAGAAGAAGAGAGACCAGACTCATGTGAAAAAAGCTGCTTGGCATGGGACCAGATCATGATTAAACTCACAACACATATTCAGATTTAAACAAAATAAATCAAACATACAATTCTTTTCTTTTCTTTTCTTTTCTTTTCTTTTTCTTTCTTCTCACTTTTATGTCTACCCTAAAGCCCTATATATATATATATATATACATACACATTCACGGCCGTGTTTGGTTTGATTTAATTTGTGTAAGCTAAGCATGAGTTTTAATGTATCACATGTATGCATTTATGGGAGATTCTTAAATTATTAGATTACTAAAATGCTTATTCACTATACAAATATATTTTCAATTACTGTTATTTATTGCTTAATCTGACAATGGATTACTATATATATATATACACACACGCAATTGTTTATTTACAAACGAATTATAAAATTAATAAAAAAAAAAGAAAGTTATATGTGTGTGTGTGTGTGTATATAATATATATATATATATATATATTTGAAGAGGTGGCTGCAGGCTGCTGGTGTACAAAAATGGCAATTAGCATTACGGTTGTTGGTTCACGGGTTAGATCTCAGCACAATTCACAAGAGTCTGACTCGTTTAGCAGCCCAATTTTTTTGGACGCATTAATTTGTGATTTAATAAGATGCTCTTGAGTTGAATTTTTTATTTTTTATTTTATTTTTGAAATTATTAAAATACTGTTTAAATTCATTTGTTTACAAAAATGTAAAATTTGAAGAAACATATTGATATTTTTATTATAATATTGATTTGTTAAATATTGTCAATCTATTGTTCAAATATATATATATATATATATATATTTGTAAAATCAAATTACAGAAACATATTTGATTTATTAATTCACAAACAAAAAAGTATACAACTTTTCGAACTAAATATTTTTTAATTCAAAGTGATTTTCTTTGACTATATTACTTTTTTAATAATTTAATAAATTTATTTTTTATAAAATTTTATATATTTTAATAATTATGAGATACAAATATGTTAATAATAATAATATAATTATTTAACGATTCTCATTACTCAACTCCTATCGTATGACATGAAATTAAAGTGCTTAACAAAGAGAAATGTACATAAGCTGAAAGAGAGAGTGAAAATTAAATAATTTCTTTTTTGTATAGGAATATTTGCCCATGGACACTTTTACCTCTCTTTTGCTGCATTGCCAGAAACACAGACACTCGCCTTTCATTTCAGTACTACAATTATAATCAATTAAAAACGAGAAATTCATTTTACAAGCAATTACTTCAATCCATTTATTCATCATATATATATATATACACACTACAATTTTTTTCTGGAAAAATAAACTAAGTATAGTAATCAGCATATATAAACAGGATTTCTGCAACAAATAAACCAATTCCCCCATCATATACCAAATTGAACTCATCTAATTTTTTAAAAAAGTCAAAGTAAGAGAAAAAGTTCAGATAATCAATATATCATCATATATGTTGACTAAAATAAGCAAAAAAGAAACAACTCAGAGATGAAGAAGAAGAAGAAGAAGGTGGCTGCAACAGCAACACTGTCGACCTCAGATCATGATCTGCAAATGGAAATCCCAAGCTTGAAGAAGGCGATCGAAGAAGGGTAGCTAGCTAGTGAGCCATGGCGACCGGAGGAGGAGGAGAAGAATAGTTAATGCTTCTCTGGTTGGGCAAAGCCAGCATGGCAGTATGATCCAAGAAATCTTTAAGAGCAACAACAGACTGCAACACAGTCCTCAGATCATCAGCACACAAGAACCCTAGATTCCCAACTCGTCTCACCGCATAAACATAGAACGTGATGCACCCTTTTCTGAACTTGAACCGAGCCATCTCGCACCCACTCAGCCCTCTTATCAACTTCCTGTTCACTTCCCCTAGCGGTATCTCCGCCGGCCAGACCCGGTCCACTCCCACCTTCATTGCCTCCGACTCGAACACAAACACCACCACTTTCGACTTCTTCGTCCCCAGTCCAAGCGTCAAGGTGTGCCACGCATGGTGCGCCAGGATGGTGAAGTTGGTGGGCAAATACGCTGTCGTTGAAGGAAATGGGAGTTTGTTGGTTTTGCCGACCAGCGACGGGAGAGGGAAAGAGAGGAGTTTGAGGAGCTCAAGAGGTCTGGCTCGCCGGATTGTGAAGGATTTGACGATGAACTGGCCTCCGAACTTGAGACCTTTTACTTCTGAGCTGGGTTTGAATGAGAAATCTGAGGAAGATGGTTTTTTGGCTTGATCATTTGGATGCTGGTGTTTTTGCTTCTTGTTTGTTTGTTTGATCTTCTTCTTGGGGATTTTTTCTTTTTCTTCCATGGATTTTCTGTAGGATCGGTTATGATTTTCAGAGAGAGAGTGTGGGAATATTGTTTCTGTTTGAGTGATGGGAAAAAAATTCCTGCAAAAATTCCAAGCTAGAGCTTTTGATGATTTATGTTTTGTATAATAATATTGCGTTTGTGGGTCTTGTATTTTGTTTCACCACTCATGAAGAGCTTTGCCTTTGGTTTTGATTGATGAGAGATGTCGTAGAGCCAGTCAAAAAGAGAGGGGCCATTCCTCTTTGCATAAATTTGATTATCTTTAAATTATATATATATATATATATGTATACACCATTGAAAATTTTTAAAAGTAATATGATATTTTAATAATTTAAAAAAAAACATATAAGGTACATATTTTATTTATTGTCAAAATTTTCAAAAATAAATTTCTAAAATGAATATTTATAACTCAAAATTTGTAAATAAGCATAAGATTTTTTATATTTATACATATACATATATATATATATATATAAGAAGAAGGCCAGATTAGGAAATACAATAGCATAATTTATATAAAATTTATTTTTAAAAAGAAATCAACTTCGTGTTAATTAAATACTTAAGAGTCTGGGATTATTCTAAATAAATTATTATTTCTTGAAATTTTATCTATAAATAAAAAATTAAATCTACTATGAAAAATTTTCTATTCACTAAAAATCAATTAAAAATTATTTTGCAATATTGCGTCATAATTGGACTTTTCAAATGAAATAATATTGAATTAGAAATTATCAATTCCAAATATTGATAAATAAGTCATATTCAGAAAATTTAAAAAAAAAAAAAAAAAAGACCATAATGTTATTGGCCTATGTAAGTATCTCATCGAATCATATTTAGAAATCAATATTAAATTAAACTGAATATAAAATTATAAGTTTGATTTGAATTTATGTGGAATATTAAATATTATTTTAAAAGTGTGAATTTTAGAGGTGGAATTAAAGTAGCTTGGCTGGCGTCGGGGTTCTCGAGTGTACTCACATTTTTGATGTTAATGTCTCACGGTGCTTCTTTTCCTCTTTATGCACTTTATATTAATGTCCAATCTAGGTATGACGGGTATGAATGCACCAATGTCAATATTAGGACATTCAGAAAGTGACTGAGGTAAAAGTCTTCAACTGATACAATATACATGTTGCATTTACTGAAAAGAAAATAATTTCAATTTTGATCTATGTGTATGGTTCAAAAAGAAAACCAAAAAAATTGGAAATATACTAATTTATTTCTTGATATTTTTACCCATTTCATATTTTTTATTTGTTAAAGTCCAAATTAAAGAGAATTTACAAGAAAAATCCAAACAATTTACTTAATCATAATAATGGGTTTCTCACCCATTTGTAAATTTGAGAAAAGATTATAAAAGAAAATTGAAAAAATTAATCCAAATTTGTGTAATTAAGATATGCCAACAATAATATAGGTGAGTTGCATGTATATGTGATGTTCAAATTTTATTGGAATTAAGAGAGGTTTATATAAATATAGGGTGAGGCATATCATGTGGCATAACATCTACTGCCTTCTTGGGTTTATGAATGATAATAACCTCCTAACTGTGGTGTAAACATTCTATTAACGGAGAGATTTGGACCACATTCATTAAAAGAAAGAATTATGCACACACCTCACCAATAAATTCATCGGTTTCCAACACTAATCATTACACTCATGTGTTAATGCTCCTTAACCCTATTTTATTTTTATATATCATCATGATCATTAACATAATTAAATTGTATGAGCAAAATATATATACACTAGTTTCTTTTTTCAAACACCTTTACTAATTAATTAAGTCAATTAAATAGGATGCAATCGTTATCAAAAGTAAATGTAATTTATCTGAAATATAAATCATTTAAACTAACCGAAATACAATTGTAACGGCCCCGGAAAATATTAAAATGAAATGAGTATTTAAATATATCGAATGCGGAAGCGAGATCAAAATTTCATTTAACATCCCTTACACGAAAAACCAAAAACGTACTTAAAATATAAAAGATTAAACTAACTAAGAAAGAAACTCGAAAATAAAACTATGCGTATGACTACAGAGTCTCTAGGCATCCCCTTCGTCGTCCTCCTGCGGAACGGGCTCGGGAACCATGTCTTCCTGATCTGAAATGGTTAATTAAGGAGTGAGCTACACTAGCCCAGTAAGAACATCACGATATCTCACCGTCACGGAGATAAAGGTGGGTAAAAAACCACAAAAAGACCAATGGAGCATGATTTACAATAAACTCGTTTATTAACAACAAAACCTTTTATCAATAATAAAACTTTGACCATCCACTTACCTTGGTGGAATTTATGAAAACAATATGAGAAAAACAATAACATTATCATAATCATTGAATAATCTAAGCTGTAAAACATAACACTTATCACGCCTCTTGTAATTCAATCATTACAATAGGAACTTATCGGCGACAGTTTTTCGGTGCAATGGCTCCACCCGCATCACCTCATGGTTGGGCATTTTTCTTCGGTCAACTTGTGAAAAACAGAATTGTCAATATAATGGTAGAAAAATTGTACGAAACGGGAATCAAGAAGGGTATCATCGAAGGCCTTTTTTAGTTTTTTTTCCGGCAGCACCGTCGGGTGTTACCCGCGATTTTTAGCTTATCCACTAGTATTTTTGCTCCAATTTGACTACGAGGGTATTCAAAATCAAATTTCAAGTGAATGAGAAAATTTTTACCTTTTTTGGCAGTCGAAGGTGGCTCTGGCACGGTAGCGGGCGACGGTCGGCTCTTTTTTCCATCGACTGGTTCTTTTTCTTCAGCGGGGGGCTGGCGGTTAGGGTTAGGGTTCAGTGTGAAGTGAGATATTTATACCCGTCTCTCTTTAATCTAGATCGTCCATTGCATTTAATCTCGATCGTCCAATCATGTTTAAAGATGAAATGAATCTGAATCGTTCATTGCAATTTGATTTGAATCATATGATTGCATTTAAAGAGGGAACGGATCCAGACTGCTCATGCATGCAGGAACAAATCCAGACCGTCCGATCGCAGGCACGAGAATTGCCAGTGTGATCTCTCACGTGGCACCGAGTCAGTGTCTTTTGCCATACAGTATACTCTAATTCGTCGAGACTGCTAACTGGGCGGTCTTACGTGGCACATTTTTTTAAATTATGTTTTGACGCTCAGTTTCTGATTTTTATTTCAAAAATGCCCTATGAACTCAAATTTTCACCCCTTTTTCTCAAAATTATTTTCAATTTCATCATTCACCTATTTTTTCCTAATTTCACATTAAATAAAAATTTATAAAATAAAAATTTATATTTTTATATATTAATTTTAAATTTTTAAAATTAATTCCAGGTAGTACAACTCTACCCCCTTAAAAGAAATTTGGACTATCAAATTGTCTCCCTCTCACTCAATCAAATAGTTGGAGATACTGGGCTTTGAAGTCTGATTCTAACTCCCATGTGGTTTCTCTGTATATGTGGTTATACCATAGGACCTTAACGAAGGAAATTTTTTAGTTACTGAGTACTATGCTCTTTTGGTTCACAATACCCACCGGTACCTCCTCGTAGGACATCCTCACAAAGTGAAAGGAGCTCGTGGACCGAGACGTGAGAAGGGTCCGAATTGTACTTGCGTAGCATGGACACATGAAATACGTTATGAACCTCAGATAGTTCTGGAGGTAGTGACAGTCTGTAGGCGGCGGTGCCAATTCTGTCTAAGATTTCAAATGACCAAATAAATTGGGAATTTAGTTTCTCCCTCTTGCCAAACCTATTGATTCCCTTGAAAGAAGTGACCTTAAGGAACACCCGATCATCTTTTTCAAATTCTAAATCCCTCTCCGAGTATCCACATAACTCGTTTGTCTGCTCTGAGCCATCTGGATATTCTTCCTGATCTTAACCATTTTGGTTGTAGTCTCCTCCATAAGATTGGATCGAATAATTTTTTATCACCCACTTCTTCCCAACAGATCGACGACCTGCATGGGCGCCCATATAACGCCTCGTACGGAGCCATGTCGATATTTGCTTGGTAGTTGTTATTGTAGGCAAACTCTATTAGGGGTAAATGATCATCCCAATGGCCCCCGAAGTCAAGAACACAAGCTTGGAGCATATCCTCCAGTGTGCGAATTGTCCTTTCTGATTGTCTATTGGTCTGAGAGTGGAATGTGGTGCTAAGGGATAGTTTCGTTCCTATGACTTGCTGAAAACTATACCATAACCGAGAAGTGAACCTGAAGTTCCTGTCAGACACTACTGTTACTAACATTTCATGTAATCTGATTATCTCCCGAATATACATTCTTGGTAACTTTCCCAATGGATCGGTCATCATGATGGCCAAGAAGTGAGAAGACTTGGTGAGTCGGTCAACAATTACCTAAATGGCATTATGTCTCGAGCGTGTTTTGACAATACTGTCACGAAATCCAATTGTGATATGTTCCCACTTCCACTCCGGAATTGGTAATGGCTAAAGTAGCCTACCTGGGCGTTGATGCTCTATCTTGACTTACTAATATACTAAATGCTTGGAAACAAAATCCTCAACTCCTCCATCTCAAACGACTCATGCGGTAAAGGGCAACCGAAATAGGTTGGGTGCCTGGCTGAAGGTGTATGGTGAATTCAACTTCTCTGTCTACTGGCAGTCTGAGTAGTTCATCTAAAAACACATTCGGAAAGTCTTGAACTACCAGAATATCTTGAATACAAATTTCTTTATTAGGTTTGCCTAGTTAGAAAAAATAGTTGAGTTAAAGCACTTGATAATAGAAAAAATTTCCATGAGGGAATAAATGTTAAAGAATTTTATTAATTTATAAATGACTTTTTATTAGGAAGGTTGAATAAAATCTTCTTATGAAAATAATCTATGGTGGTGTGATACGTTGCTAGCTAGTTCATTCCTTGGATTACATTAAAGTCCCACGTGTCAATCTCTATTAGTTTCACACTCAATTTTTTATCTGTTATATCTATAACACAGACTCTGTATATAACCTCCCCCACTAGTGTCATACTCCCAAGAATAGACATAAACAACACAAATTCAAGTCTTTCTAGTAATACATTCAAGTTTGATATAAAAGCATGTGAAAGAAATGAATGTAAGACACTAGTATCAATCAAAATATATGCAAGATGATTACAAATAGTATACGTACCTTGTGTCACACCTGGGTTGGCTTCTACGT